ACTGTGACAGTAGAGACGTTGGAACAAAGAAAAAATGTAATCCTTGAAAATACGTGGTATGCAGATGCATATGCCCTTTGTCCGTTTGGCGGATGAGTTTGGAACGATACAAGGAGAATGCAATCGTCGTCAGTTGAGATACAAAATGTCATAGACCTCAAGGGCAAAACACAAATGGACAACTCAACTGTTGAAACAAGATACCGCGATAATGTAAACGAAGATGAAAAAATTGATGAGTGGAGAAGTGCGAAAAAGAAGGTAGATTCAAAGAGCCCAGATTGCGAAATGCACGGTATAACTCTTGTGCCTTTTTAGTTCAATATTTTTTGGGGTGAACGCATTGTTGTCCAAGGATTTCATATCGCTAGTTTGAAAGTAAACGACTAGTTGCATGCAACCATTATCGATTTTTTCCTGCAGTCAACTTTAGAGGATGCATCACAAAGAAGGACGAAAAGTCTCGTTTTTGTGTGTACATGGTTCTGGCACGAATTGATACAAGCGAAACAACCAGTGGACAAGACAAAATCAGACTGTGACGATAGACTGAAGAAAGGGAGAGAAAAAAGTATGATTTTTCGTTTGCATCCAAGATTTGGGATAGTAGATTGGTGATAGTCACGATATAAGAAACATTGGACAGTGTTCGTGATGATAAACGTAGAGGACTTTGTGAAAGGAGTTCCAAAAGATAGTAGATGCAAACCGACATTGATTTATATGAACTCGCTTCGGAATAAATACAATCCGAGCTGGGATCCACTACGTAGCTGGGTCTTCGATGAATTTTATCTTCGCAATTCAGGCGGAGGTGGTGGCAGATCAACCGAAGCAAGAGGATCATGGACCATGTGTAGAGAAATGTTTGTGAAAAATATGGTGAAAGTTGACTGTCAACACCAAGAAAATGAAGACGATTCTGGTGTGCATACATGCATGAACGCAGAATGTCTCATCAAACACTTCGGTGATCGACCGGTTGTTGACGAAATAAGCATGGACGAGGTATGGACCGTGATTGACAAATTGAAAAATGAAGACAATAGAGCAAAGCAAAAGCGTCAGAAAATTGTGGAATACACAAGGATATATATCGCAAGAAAAAACAGATTTGAGGAGGCGAAGATTGACAATATTATCAAATCATTAATGAAACTGAAAGTCGAAGACGATGATACTTAGTCATAGTGTGGTTTACAGACTGAAAGCTCGCAACAGACTAGAAGTAACATGCACGAGAGATTGACACACTTTGTTTGTACTTCTTCCCTTGCACGGTAGAGTGGAAAGATCATCCGCTATCGCTATTTAGTCCCTACGTAGCGAAGGATCGTAGGTTGTATAGATATGGGTACGAGGGTAAAATACGACGACATCTGCAGAAAGAGAGGTCAGCAACGAAACAACTCTGTGCAATTCATTGACGAACACAATGTACGTCAGACAACAGATAGACACATGAGCACTTTGAGGGAAGATGGTGCCAGAGAAGTTGTGAAAAGCACAAGGACTGATCTGCACCACCAATCGAGGGAGAAGGAGTCGACAAGCAGAGACAGAGAAAAGATCGACGGGACGTCTTCAACGCCGAGACGGAATATAAGTCAGTCAGAGAAGGGAACAGTGACGCCAAGCGCACCACGGAAGGCGAAAAGATTGTGTCGGAATAGTGAGAATGACGATGGCATCATTGGCTACCCACAGAAAGTTGAAATCGCGCAAGGCAGGGAGAAAACAAGCCAAGGGAGAGAAAAATGAGGGAGACGTGTGAAAAATAAGACCACAAGAGCAACCGACAGAGGTTCAGTTAGAAACAAATTTGCAATACATGAGAACAGCAGTGTGAGAAAGGGGGAAACGAAAAAATACCACAATCAGTTCGGTCGAGAAGAACACGATGAATTTCCTGAGTCGGAGCAGTTGGAGGAAAGTACGGATAAAAAATAAGATCATTCAGAAGACACACATTCAAAGTCGGAATCACAAGCAAGTTCGGCGGACGGTCAAGAATATGACAATGAAGAAGACGGATCTGCAAGAGATGGAAAGCAAGACTGTGGAGAAGAAATGGATGATGCAAAAAAGCAAGATAGCGACAACTGCCACGAAACGACGAACCTTCGCACAGATAAAACAGGTAAATATCTTTGCTTTGAAGGCATGAGCAGCGTCGAAATTGATGTATTTCCTTTGCATCTCAATTCCGCCGGCAAAGTTATACGCTACAAAAAAAAAAGTACATTCCTCCTCCTTTCATGTTCTCATCAAAGTTTTGTAATTCTGATGTTTATTATTCTTTTATATGTTTCAGTGAATGCAGGAAAAGTGGAGAGCAAAAAACTGGCACATATTTGGAAGAGTGACACAAAGAGAACGAGCAATGTTGCAGAAAAACTACAACTCACAGAGATGACCAAAAAAATGAAGGACGGGATGTTTCGGTCAATTGCAAAGGCATACATGTATCTGTCTGCTCGAGACTCCACGTTCTACCCGACGGAGGAACAATTTTTCAAGTCATTAACAATAATGGCAGAACATATAGGACAATGGGCATCCGTAGTGTTAACAAGGTATGTGGAGGAGCGCGGCATGCGGCAGGTCCTCATTGAATGTAACTGGATCATGACGACCATTAGAGGGGAGATATCATGGAACTTACAACACGAGTTTTTGGCCGAGAAGGGATACCCTCTAGTGAGTTCAAAATAAACAGACAAACAACAAGAAAAGCGACAGCAACTGAGAGAGGAAATGATCAAGAATGCGACATGGAGGCGGAAGGGAAACGAGCGATGGGGTGATCCGGCGTTCGAACTCTGCTTGGCGAGGGTGTTCTTTCACACGAGGAAAGGTCAAGGGACTGGTGTGTCATTGCAACAACTTGCATTTGCAGAGATGGTAATAAAAAATGA